TCAATTATCCATCTCTTCAATTCCCGCTGGTTTTTCTCGCCAGGCTTATATACTAAAAATAGAGCGTCTCGAATGCACTCGGACCTTCATGATCATTCGAGAAATTCTAGCGCCATGCTCTCAGATTCACGCGACTTCCGCTGTCATAACAATAACTTACAAGTTACACTGATCCACACAATTCACTAAAACTAAGTTATTATTAGTAAATACTTCGTCGAATGATTGGCACTCTACGAATTAAAAAATAACAACAACAATATACAAAACTACTCAATGCTTCACTGATTCATTTCTAGCTTCTATAGTTGATTGATTCACTGGTATTTATACCTGACATCTCACTTCTAGATATTTGTGAAAGTTGCCAAAACATTTTAGGCATTCTAGGCCTTCTTTTACGAACTTTTCGATCTGAATGTTATGCCTCCCCTAGTTAATATCTAAACTAAAACATTGAAAATATAGCTTATAACAATATATATGGTTCAAACGCAAAAACTTGCACATCATTACAAAGCAATAGGATCTTAAATTTTTTATAAGAATTATGTAAAGTGCAGATGTATTCCTTTTAATTTATCCATTTCAAATTCATAATCAGAGACGTGTAAAAATGGAAGTTCAGAAATATCTTTGTCTCCCACATATCACTATCCAAGAGGCTTTTTGTTCATAACCAGAACTTTTCATTTGGGCCATCGTCTAGCCTAATTGACGAGTTCCAGTATTGAACTAAAGGGTTGTAACTTGTGCGAGACAAAAGACAACCCTGATATTTTATTTATACAAGCCTCTGATTCTGAATCCAAAATGGATGAATTAAGAGGAATGTGAGAAGGGTAAGAGGAGAGCACTTCTGCTGAAGTAGATTATATGCAGAATGGCAAAATCATTCAATGTTCCGAGAGCATTAGGTTTCCACAAATAGTGATCATAAAAAAAGAATGGAAGTACACTATGATTCTTTGTGGGCTTCACATGGGTAAATACAACAAGGAAGTTAATATATTGTCATGGATATATATATATATATGTCTGGATTCTTTTTTGAAGAATCCCACTACTGGTATTCGATGACAAGGAACCCACTTTGAGACAAATAATGGCTGGAGACGGCTTGAATAGGTAATGAAGAAAAACTTTAATATAAGTTTAACATAACATCAAATGTACAACGTTTCGACAAGGTTTTGTCATCATCATTATCAGGTGACAATATGTATGTAGGTAGTGAGTAATTGAACTGCAGTCAGAAAGTATTGTTGAAGTTAACGTTCGTTGTTAAAACGTTTGTTATAGAGCGACTGTTGAAAATAAGTGTATCGGTAAAGTTATATTCAGAAAGAATAAACCAGTTTTATTAAGTAAGGACTTGTGTCGCTAAAGTTTCGTCGGAACGAAGTTACGGGAAATCAATTAACGACTGGAGGCGTAACAAATTGGTGTCAGAAGTGGAACGAAAAAAAAAGGGAAACGAGAGGCGGAAAATCAACTTACAGCTTATCAGACTTGATGGCAGCAATACAAGAGCAGCAAAAGAAACAAGAAAAACGAGAAAATGAACGAGAAAAGAAACAAGAAGAGAGACAACAGCAGTTGCAAGAAAACCTACAACAATGGCAGCTCGAACAGCAACATAAACAAGAGAGATTACAGCAGTTGTTAGGAGGAAAAAGAAAGAAACAAGAAGAGA